AATTATCATTATAATTAGAGCGCCGGCACACCTTTTGACTAAACTATCGCACAACTGCTTAGTAGCGCTTTGATTCTGAGCTTATATGGAGGTGCGCACACTAACTCGATTTTAGTTCTGCAACTAATAATTGATTTGAAACAATCGACAATCGTACAACAGTTGTGCGATAATTGTGCTCTTACCATTATATTATTGCACAAAGATGCTCTAGAAATATATCTTACTTATTTTTAAGGCCACTTGTATTTATGCCATCGGCAATATATGTCGTGTGTTAGTTATCGCAGTGTAAATGCTGACGCGTGTTTGAAATAGCCTCTTATCGTAAAGTAAATTTTTTGACACAACATATTTATAAAGAAGCTATGTTAACTGAGAATCAATATTTACTTTTAACTTTATATCATTTTCTTTATTTTCCAATGTGGTTTTTTTTCTAACTTTTTCACGAGTAAACAATTTATTTCTAATAATTATAGACTTCAAACATAGGCTGTGATTACGAATTCACTGTTCAAAGTGAGCGCAAAAGTACACATTAAATTAATATTATTAAAACTTAATAACTATTAAATAACATAACAGGAAATAAAACATTTGAACAAAATTAAAAACGATATCTTTTAATTACGATGTCTTTTTTTTACTCAACTTAGAAATTTTCGCCTGAATACTGGAACGAATATTAAATACTTCGCTATATAAATGCCATACTATCTGATAGATGTATTTTAGAGTTTAAACGTGGCCTTATTTAATATGCTGTTACGTATTTTAATGTCGTTTCAGTATACAGTCGTATGTTAGTATGATTTCACATTAGCTGTAGCACGTACGTAACGAGGTAACTGCGAAATACCTCAAGTACCGGCTATTGCATTACACGATCAATTGATACATGCAAGATTGAAGCACCAATGTAGGGCCCACGCGGATCATATCAAGTTCTACCAAGAGCTCTTACGTAAATTGTTTTGAAATACTTTAACAATCTAAATTGGAGGTTCCTGTCCATTTTGGTAACTAGTGAATAGCAGAGAGAAACCTTATTTCCTTATACTCTGGATACTCCGTTAACATGAGGGACGCGTCACTGATCAAAATCAATTACCTACTTTATGTGTCATTTGCCAATATACTGGCGCTATTTTTTAATCGTCTGTTATCCTCTATTGTCCTTTATTAAAAACTGGCAATGCGAGGGAAGTTAAAAAATCTATTTCACAGGCTTCATACGTCTTTCAGTTGGTAAATTGTTTGTAATGTACCATGTAACCATGTACTACAAAATTGAATAAAACAACTAGTACCGACGAAAATTTTCCTTGTAAATTTGCAAGTGATCATGAGTGTGTTCAAAAATATACGTTTCTTCTGGTACTTTGCCAAACACGAAAAAACCTTAAGGCTCAGTTCTTGATAAGAGTTGAATTTTCATAAGAGTGCTATGAATGAAATTATACTTAAAAATAAATAAAAAAAACTTAATAAATATTGATTGTGTATTGAATTAAAAAAACAGTTGATAAACTGAGAGGGCATAACCGATAAATATAGTTCAATTTAGTAGGAGGCTATTATTCAATGAAGTGGCGGTCAGCGCTCCGACCACCGCTGGCTGTGAGTCCTCGCCACTTGTAAATAACGTTCAAGTGACGTCTAATAATGTATTATTACAGAACTGATTGCGGACGCCCATATTTCAGCATTACACGCAATGGTTCAGTACGTCGTACCAATCTGAATCGATATTCTATTTTTTATTCGCAAGAAATACTATAAAGGTTGTGTATATATGGATTCTTAGTTCGAAAAACATACTGACAGGAATCGCCTTAAAAGAATTTATTTTTTGAAATCAACAACACGAAAAAAACATGTAATAATTTTATTACTGATCTCGATATTTGTTATTAAATATTAAATTGTTTCATAACAATTCGATAATTTTTAACTATAATCATTATAAACACTTGAATGTTATAAACAAAGTCTTTCACGGGCGATCGCTATCAAAGGTGAATATTCTATAAACAGTGAAAGTGTAAACCAATAAACAATTTTTTGCAATTCGTATCAAAATTGTAACACAGGCATTAAAAGATATAACTGTTTCTTTTACTTCAAAGCGAATGAGTGAGATGACATTATGTTTTTACATTTTTTGCAGTGGATAACCGCAGTGAGGCTTAAAAACTCTTCAGTTAAACCAACCTTCAATAAACAAAACCTTTTATCAATTCAAATGAATACGGAAAATTATGTTTAAATACAAATTTGCCGGGATCGTATCTTAAAAGGATGTTTGTAAATAACCTTAAAATGAGGTCTTTGATAAACATCTTAAAATTTAAACATGAACATACTCGTACTGTAAAGGGAAATGTTTTGTTACTAAGTTTACTAAATATTTGAACTAAAATAAGCGTTGTTAAAATTTATCGGTAACATATTTCCTTATAAAGAAATCCTGGTTTCAGAATTTCCATTATCATGAAAATAAATTTAGAATGATGAATATGATGACGCTAATCTGAATTCAAAAATAAAAATGTCGAAACAACGACTGGAACTGCATCACGTAATTCGGGGTTTTTAAAAATTTCAAAGTTTAATTTTATTTCTTCGCGATTAATAATTCTTGGATTGTTTTTCTCGTGCAGTCGATTGAAGGGCATTTATCGGGCAATAATTACGGAATTCGTTAGTTTTATAAAGCTTCTATTTCTGTATACATACGCCCTCGTTCTGTGACGAGTATTGTATTTGGCACGGGACGGAGCGCGTGACGGTGACCTGTTCATTATATACATACCGAGAAAGTGCTCGAAAGTAATATAGAAGTTTTTGCTGAAACTGCTTAAAAGTCTTTTATAAGGTATAAAGTTTTATTTATAATTATTAATACCTTGTCTCTTTCCAGATTTCCATTGCTGCATTTAGTCATTAATTGGTCACTAAGGGAGATACTTAGTGACCAATTAACCATGAGCAATGATGATATATGTCATGCCTGAAACATATTGTTTGTGTAATTGTCACTCGCGGATCACTTCATTGTTTACGATCTTTTTAATTGAGATCAATTTTCGTGTGGGTAATAAAACGCGTAGGAACAATAAGTAATTACAATAATAAAACAAAAAACCGTCTGTATTAATTTAATTCTACCATATTTTTGTCTTTTAAAGATTGTAATGTCAGAATTTTTACAAGACCAAGTTTTGTTCAATAAATTTGCAACACACAAACTCAGAGTCGTAGTAAGGGAGTCGCTTGGTGTATATTTTATATCGCAGATCTAAGGGGCAGCTTTAGTTACTATTAGACTTAAGTAATGTATTTTATTTTATATATTTCATTCATATACCATATTATTATAGAGGAAAATACCAAGTTAAGTTCGTAATATAAAATTAAATATCTGTCAAAACAAAAATTATCTCGTTAATAACATGTAATTTATAGAACTGCATTTGCGATAAGCAAGTAAAAGTATAAGGTCGTCTGTTCATCAATTTGTTTATGTTAAAAGACTATTTAAATCCTTTATCTGTGTTTACACTTTCGATTTAGGTATTGCGCCGATGCACAGTCTCCCAACTGTGTACTTATTGCGGAGAAATTGATAACAGACCACGTGTTCACGTCGAAGCATCTAGAAACATCCATTTAATAAGGATCGAACATTATTATCGATTCATTACTTTAAAAGATGTTTCAAATATAGATTTTTCTTTCAAATAAAGTTACATTGCATTAGCTATCATAAAACTATACGAGTATAAATAACAAATCGTAGTCATTTGTGGTTGTCATATCTATTGATTTTTATGTTAAAAGTATTTGATTAACAATTAAAAGTGACTTCGTTTATATTCAAAAAGATGTACACGGGAAGGTCAAACTGAAGGTCGTATCCATCTTACATTTCATTCAGAGACACTTAAATAGGTCATTGTGTGACCTTCAAGACGACCTTGTAACAAATAAGAAATTTCTTCTAAGATTAAAACGTGCAGTATACTTACTACATTATTATTATCGAAGATTTTCTTTACGACCTATGACTACACTTTCTGAGAAACCCTAGTAATTCTTCTTTATTTATCGTAGCCACTCAAATGAGACTAGTATTTTTTAATAACATTCTGTGATAAACAATACTCTTTAAACTAAAAAAACCTTCACTAAAAGATGTTTAACATATTCATAATATTACAAAGGGCTAATCACGATTGTTTTAATTTCTATAAATTCATTATTATTATTCTTCAATTAATATATTCTTTTTAATTCATTTATTTTTCTTTTTGTAATTCAGTACAGGTTAAGGTTATGTGTCAAGTTGCTGATTGTCGTATAATTTATTTTTTCATTCCTGTAGGTATTTCGTTATTTTTGTTAAGGGAATATTTAATTACTGTAGCGGTTGTGTCTAAGAACAACGTTAGGTAGTTCTTTTATTGGTTTTTATATTCAGCATCTTGTAGTCAAACGCAATTAGGATCTCCTCGTCGCATCTGCGAATATTGTAAATTTCATTTGTAATCTTGTCTCATATATGGGTGACTGTGCGTTGCCCTATTAAAAACATTTGACTATGAATTAAACTATTATTTCTGATATTTTAGTAATGTTATCATTGCTCTCGTGTGTCGTGACAGAGTTGCAGATCGCAGCCGCGCCGAGCAACTCCTATCTTATCTAGGTCGTTCACTTTTGACATTAAACTTCGATGTCACGATACTCATGAATAAACAGTTCAATTGTATTGTTGTTTGTTGGCAACGTGCCTACGAATATAGCTGTCATACCTTGATTCTTTCTAACTGGAGTAGTGGTTTCACTATCTACATTTCCACTGAAAGTTAATCAGTATTTACATTTAAATTCAGTAGCAATCAAGCCAAAGAAGCTGCTTAGAATATTATAAACGAATTAACTCGGAATGCATTAAATTGTTTTATCTTAAAACTATTGTTTTCATTTTCCAGACGCAGATGAGCGGCGACCGCGCCGGCAGCGGGACGCAGTGCGGTCTGACGTCACTGCTGCCCATGTCCTGCCGGGGGCGTGCCGCCGCCTTCGCGCGGGACCTTCACTCCCGCCTGCGCAACCTCGGCACCGGACACGACGAATGCGAGGCCAATTGGCTCGCGCGCGACGCCGCCACCACGCACAGGCCGGCCAACACTGCACAAAGAGACCTAGACACGTTTTATGATTTTGAACTAGAGTGCGAGAGCCCTTCCAGTCCCGTCGACGAATATGATGCGGCCTTCCCGGAGCGAACTCCTGCAGCAGACACGGAGACCCCGTTCTACGATGTCGATTCCGATACTGAGATCAAAGAGCAAGCCAGGTTAATGCTGAAGCAGCCAGATAAAAACAAAAATGGTTTCAAATTCTCCACTGCCTTCTACACAGACTACTCACCAGTGAAACTGCAACCTGTCCCGCGAGAAAACGGTCACGCAGATAAACCACTTTACGCGCCTATAAGTTTTGAAGGTTGTGCGCGACAAAATAGCTACGACGAAATTGATTGTGCAGTTCGACCTCCAGTTGTTGAATCTGAAAGACTGAGCTCGCCACTGAACCATTCGACTGTACCGGATAGCGATTCTGAGTTTGAGTCTGCCAAAAGCGATCCGTCGGAAGCCAACGACGAGGTTACGCTAACAGAGAAGTCATTGGAAAAAGATGTCACGGAGGACATTGAAAACTTGTCAATTATAGATCTTGATCTCGTCGAAGTGGAAATTCCACTTGACAATGTCGATATAAAAGTAACAGACTCTACTGATATCCTCGATTCAAGTCTTATAATTACCAGTGAAGTTTCCGAAAACTACGAGGTATCACCTACTCCCGAAATTGATCCTAAGTTATTAAGCACAGAGTGTAAAGATGAAGAAGAGACAGAAGACGATCGTCCACAACGAGTTCGCAGGTGCTCATCGCTTAAAACTGGTAAAACGCCGCCCGGCACGCCGGGACGAAAGAAAATCGTTCGCTTCGCCGATGTATTGGGCCTAGATTTAGCAGATGTCAAGACGTTTATGGATGAAATTCCCGTCATTCCAAAGTCCGCCTACGACGATCTAACCGGTTGCGATATGCTAAGTTCTTCCCCGCCCGCTCGAGCGCCGCCCAGACTCGGCGCTCTCACGTTAGTACCTTTATTCCAGGTGCCGCGCGACGTCACAGAAAAGCTTGAAAAGATGCTCGTATGCCTAGAGAGCGCTCGAGTTTGTGACGGCGCTCACGTAACAATTTGTGGATCGGTACGCGTAAGAAATTTAGATTTTCATAAAACTGTTCACATTCGTTACACGATGAATCGTTGGAAAACATACACCGATCTCCAGGCGACATACGTGCAGGGCTCTTGCGACGGATACTCGGACCGCTTTCAGTTTGTGCTGTACGCACCGTGCATATCTTCGGGGCAGAGGTTAGAGTTGGCCGTTCGATTCCAATGCAAAGGGCAGCAGTTTTGGGACAATAACAGCGGGGCTAACTACTGCTTCGACTGCCTCGCGCTGGGGGCGACGGCGCCAATGCAGACGCCCGCATCGCTTCACCCTACCATGGACTGGCACCCATCATTTTACTGACGCTCTGAGCAGAGATATGCGCGGGATGTAAGCCTTAGTGTGAGCGGGACTAAGATGAGTGGACGAGTCCTCTGAGCGAGGAGCAGGTCCGGCGGGTCCGGAACTGCAGCGTGAGCGGGCGAGAGACCGATTTTGACTACGGCATACTTTGTGTACAATGATCAATTACTGAAAGAAGCAATACGTGGCGTCCTAATTTTATGAGGCTTGAAATGTAAAGCGTTTTTGTGATATAATTTAGAGTAGGTGTAGAATTTATAGAGTCGAGAGATCATCTCGTTCGGAGTGCCATTCGCAGTAACGACCTATCTGATTATTAAATTTTCTTTATGATTTTGTAGTATAGCGTAAACGAGAACAATAAAATGATATAAATACGATATGATAATAATTAAAACGACCGATGGAATGGAATGAGTGAGTTGTTGAATGTGAATTGTTTGTACATAGTTAGAGAGGTATATTCTGAATGATATTAATATTTTAATAATTTTTACAAACTATTAGCCGTATTAAATAATTAGATCTATATCGAAAAATCACTTAGACTGTGTTGTTATTAATCGTGAAGTAGATGGTATGAATTTTTTTTATTATTGTTATTAATAATGTGAATATAATTCATTGCCTTTGAAATATAAAATTATCGTTTTTAGATTGTTAAAACCGTTAATAATTCGTAATTGTCAATATTTATAAGACTACGTACCTAAATGTAAGAAGTCCTACACAAACTGTTACAATTTATAAGATTTATGGAAATGATTTTACTCAATTTTATACGAATGTTACAAAACAGATATATTTACATTTCCTACTTTTATATTTATGAAAATATATCATGACATATGTAATACTTCCTATAAATAATAATGATTATTTTGAGATTGAAGATTTTTATTGATTGAAGAAGACTAATAGAAATTATGAAATTAAATTATTGTTACTTTTAAGTCGGCAGCAATATTTATTACTTCGCTTTAATTCTTTTGTATGTACCTGAATCCTAAAACGTGGCCATATTAATTTTACAATATACCGATGCGTCAGTTTATATCTATTGAGTTTTATTGTTATGACATTTGATATATGAAACCTACCTAATTAAATATTCGTAATTAAGCACGATGTTTTATTAAAAGAAACCTTTAGTAATCATTAAGTACAAGAACTTTACATTAAAATACTTCTAGATCTTAATACATTAATCTATACTAATATAATAAAGCGTAAACACACACTTTTTTGTGAAGTAAGATGTCAGCGATTACTGCATATTTTTAGATCATTCGTTTTTAATAAAAAGACCTACACTAACGTCACGCTTCAGGCTATATATTTTTACGATATTAAACTTAGGGGGTAAATATTTTGTATAAAAACTCTAATGTGGGAAGGAGACCATAAGTTGCTGCCAACATCAAGGAACCAATGATGTCATTTATGCTTTAGAGTTTTGACATTTCGCAAATGTAAACAATAAAATAAAGTATTTATAATTTCACGCGGATGATGTCGCACAAGAACAGCTAGTTTAAGATTATTAGTCAAGTTAGGGTTACCAAAATTAAAAAAAATAAATAAATCATACGCTCATTTTAATGTACAAAAGCAATATCACTTAAAAAAAATGTAAGGCTAAACATATCACATTTATTGGATATCATTAATAAATAAGTTGTTGCTAAACATAGTGACATTTTTTACAATGATTAACATTCAGAAGAATTATCTACCTAAGGTTGAAGAGCGAGACCTTAAGATAAAAATTTCTTTAAAATGTAAACAATGAATAAACACTTCAGTACTAAATATTTATACAAAACTTCACAGAGAAGTACACTAGTTAAATATATCTTATAACATTGATGCGGTGAGTATTTTAAACGACAGATAACAAAAACGTAAAAACCATGGAAGTAATGAGTACTACGTGCAACAGGAATGAGTTCTATCTGTACATCGTGCAGTTAAAATTAAGAAAATAAAACCTTATGCGAAGGGCGTAAGAATCTTGTTGAGGTTTCAATCGGCTTCAATTTTACAAGAGCTCATTCCTGTTCTAGTAGTATGTCCACGATAAAAACCAAATAAAAGACAGCTGAAATAATTTCGGAAAACAATGGGACATTTTTAAATTATTTTCTACTTAATTTTAAGTATACAAAAACAGCCTTTTCGGAGTTTTAATATTTTTTTCATTAAAGTTCTGGGAGTTTTTAAAAATAAAATTAAAGTTCAACTTTTAAATGCAAGTTGATTTTAATTAAATTAAACTGTTTAATTCAGTTTAAATTGTACCTAATTGGTCCTAAATATCTTAAAATAATTTAATTGTGACCTTAATTAACAATAAGTTTGAAAAAAGAGCAAATGTTGACTTATATACCCAAAAATGTTTTGGTATAATCCATGGTCCATAATATTTAAATTTTCATTAAATTTTTCTAACCTAAAAATGTCAGCCTCAGTTTGTCAATGAATTACATTACTTTCACATATTCCATAAATTCTTTAGATCTCTTCTATGAGTGTCCGCTGCGAAACAGACGCACAAAAATACTGTCATCGCTGTTTTTTCAATAGAGAATGAGTGGGATGACAATATGTTGTTTGTATGTTTGTGTTAGAAACTCATGTTAGGTTGTTTTAGTCTTATTGCATTGCGTATTAACAGTCTTATAACTAAACTTAGTTTATTTGCCACGAGAAAACCAGATCTGTCTAATCTGACAAGAATTTTCTAGAAGATTTCATGGTTTAGAGTATTTTAACATTAACATTGGGGAAAAATACAGCTATCAAATAAAATTACGGCCTTAAATAATTGTCATGGAAGTCAGTTCTTGTGGGTTTCTTGACTGTGGTAGTGGGAAGCGTCAGTGTGATATCAGGGTCTCGGAGCGCCCGCAGTTGTGTGTACAATCGTTGTTTGCAGAATTCATAGAATTCAATTTCCCTGGTGAAGTTGGCTCGTACGATCTGCTTCACCGCCTCGGAGACAGGCGGCTTGAATGCGTTCCGGTTGATCCGATTGAACGTGTTCAGCTCTTCTGTAAAAATATTATTTAATTTAATTTTACTAATATCATAAATGCGGAAGTTTAGATTGATGCATGTTTGTTAGAGTTTGCTCCCTAAACGACTGAACGGATCTCAAATTTGAATAGAGCATATTGTAAAAAACACATAAGCTGCTTTTTTTAATTCCACGAGGACAGTCTCGAGCAAAAGCTAGTAAAAATAAAAGATACTTGCTTAATAAATGAAAAGTGAAAATGATAAAATAGTTTCAGCGCCATCTGTTAGCGATTTACAACACTAATTTTATTTATACTGTTACTAATGTATCTTACCCCAGTACAAGTTCAAAGCTCCTTGAAAGAATCGTGGTATGTATCGCTCAAAGGCGAGGAGCGTCGCGTTCATGTCCTCAAGAACACCGACAACCGCGTATTGCTGCTCCACCACGCGCTTGGCGCGCTGCAGCGCCTCACGGCTGTTGAAAGGTCTGCAAAAAGAAGTAGTATTTAAAGTATTATATAGATGGCGCTTTTGTACATCTGTGATTTTCTAAATTGAAATTTTTACCTATTGTTTTCGATTTTCTCATGTGTTTGTATTATTTTATTTAATTAAATATACGCAACAATCACAACATTTTCTTCTCAGAAAAATAACCAAGCCAAAGCAAGATATTTGGTTCGACCCATAGATGGCGTTGAATATCCTCCATGAACTGAACAGAATAAGGCCACCCTTGGGCAAGTTTACGTATATATATGCCTATACATATACGTAAATTATACACTAATACAAAATTTGCTAAATGCAAAAGGAATTAAATAAATTCTAAGAAGTCAAATAGGCAGGGTCTGGAATGAGGTAAAAATGTCGGTATGGGGAGCAAAATGGTAATTAATATTTATTATAAGGTGAAACTACTTACGTGCACTGAGGCTCGTGTCCGCAGAAGAAGAGCGTCTGCCGGCGGTGGTCGCCGATGCCCTCGTGCGTCTCGCCCTCCACGTAACGACACTCCCGGTCTCCGCTCAGTACACACGTCTCGAAATCCTGCAACCGAAAAGTTACATTCCTTCTATAAAAAGTTTACACTTTATTTTACAAAAATCTTAAATTTGTAAAAGTCGGAAATAACTTGACATAATTACAGTAAGCGACTTCAAAACATTTACGCTACCTCAAAGGTACCGCTTTTTGATTCGATTGTAAGCACGTACGGTAAGATCAGATAAATGCTTGAGTGTAATCTCAAGAATTTAGAATTCAGCAAAACAAGACGTAATAACAAATACTCGTACAATTATCGTGTGAAAAAAAACGTTATTAAGGATAAGGATGAAATTAATAAATGAAATACAACATGGCGAACATACCACTAGAAACAGACGCAAACCTTTGACTAAACTAAAGTATCGCACGATAGTCCATTGTTTCGCAGACCATTCGACTGTTTAGTTGCACAACTAAAAATCGGGTAGTGTGCGCACCTCCATATAAGCTCATAGGAATCAAAGCGAGACTAAACAGTTGTGCGGTAGTTTAGTCAATGGTGTGCGCGCGCTCTAATAAAGACAACATTCGAAATTAGAACATCCATGTAGCTTATTATTAGTTTGAAATAAGTGGCCAGTATTATTTTCTCTATGACTAACAAACATGTCTCGCTTTATTGCATACTCAATGTCTTATAGACTATTATAGAGTGTGATTAGCAAAAAATGCGAGGAAGTTTTGCTATTGCAAATACTATTAATATTTATAATTAGTCAGTGCGAGCTGTCAGACGGACATGGCCCGGGGCGGTTGAAGCGATGTCTTAGTTCCAACTCTTTGTACTTATAATTAGAATAAAAAAGAGAAAATAGACTTGTTATGTCCGTAGTATGAATATGAATCTAATGTCTATGAACAAATATAATAAAAAATACAAAACCACATTTTGAAATTATACTATCAGTAATAAAACTAAAAGAAGACAAAGCGCGGTTTACATTTCGCCAGGACAGTGGGCCAGCGCACAATAACTGGACTATAAATCGAATGGCACAGTTGAACGCTAACTGGCGCCAGTGACTCCATATAATTTATGGCCGTAGCAACTGTCCAACTGTACTGGTCAAGTGTAAACCGGTCATATTATTCGTTATCGCTAATCATCTTCCATGTGCCTATACAAAGGAAAAGCCATAAACAACTCGTATAGAAATGTTTTACGTTCGATCAAAGATTAGAACTTTAAATCAGATACGACTGTGGTCAAATCATAGATTAATACCTGAGAGCTTTAATGCGTCACATTTATTACATTGAAAGATTTATTAACGTTATCTCCTTATGTAATGTTAAACAATAGGCAGAGAAAAGCTTTATTTCACATTAAAGCAAAGAAAAGTAATGATAGTTACTAGATTGACCATAAATTAAGATAAGAATTTAACTGTTTATTTTTGAAAAACCTTTCAAAACAAGCCGGCTTGACTAATCATAAAGATTATCCGATTATCGCAACTTTAAATTTTATGACTGTGTTTACATGTAAATTTATACTTTAATGTACTGATTGTATAAATTATTTCTATGTAAATCGATACTGGGAAGTTTTAATTGAATAAATTATTTCCAAACAAATTAAAATGACACTCTGTCGTTCACTATCACAATATATTAACCCATTTTGTAGTAAGTTGTCATTAATGCTCGGTTCAAAATTGGTCAGTACAGTTGGTCAATAGCACTTAATAACTGGACTGGTAATAAACTGGCATATTGTGAACACTAACTGGTGTCAGTGAGTCTTCAATCTTAAGTAGCCATCGCAACTGTATTGGCTATGATTTACATTTCTAATTACCATCTAATCGGTGATGATTTACCTTCTTAAGCCATGCTGGGTCTGGTAGTGGTAGGTCTGGGAAGGCTCGTTTCCTCTCCACGTAGTACCAGGGCGCACGCACATAGTAGTACCAGGAAATAACGCGCTCCACCGGGTCCCGCACCACGTTCACGTAGATAGGAGACGGGTAGCCGAACCTTGAACGTAAAAATATAATTTTAGTGAGAATAAACGATGGATAACTTTGGCTGATATGATGGAAGAATCTTTAAAGGTACTCCGATTTCGGAATTTATGAAGAATACAATACTGAATTTCCCTAAAAAGTGAATTTTCTAGACTGCAAAAGATCTAGGGATATTTAAAAGTCTTGGAACACTCTTTTATTATTCTAGTAACAGACAACAAAGAATTCCTGACTTCCACGGCAATTCATGTCAAACTGTTTCGTATTCTTAATCATATTGCTTCACAATTTCCTTATTTCACAAACGAACAATAGACTAATTTAACGGCTAAAAGACGGTGTTTTCTTGGTCAATGTAATTAGCTATAACGAACAGCCGTCATTTTATCGATATTTAGTAATAAAACATTAATATCTTCCGACACAAACAGGCATTATGATTGATTGTCGCGCTGTCTAACGCGTTGGAAATTGACCAGTGAGTTAATGTTCTTAATAAGTTCTATTTACGATTAGATAATATCTACGGCCGCGATTGCCTGCCCGTTAGAGCGTATAAGTTATTTTGTTTGTATTGACGTAGGAATCATTTCATCCATCAAACACGAAACAGATTGCTTCGAATTGATGACTGACAAATTTGTAATGATTAACAATCATCACAGAGGCGTAAGTCGGTATTGTTTGTTATTATGAACAAGCTACCATTGCATAGCGAAGAATATGTTATCTTATAACCTAATCTGCATTTTACCCTTTATATAAAATACCAGTGAAATACTAGAAGTAAAATAAATCTCTAAATGCGTATTTTACTGTATAAAGTAACCGGATGTATGAAAAAGCGATGAAACTGTGTGGATCGCTTTTTCAGAACCGTTAAACGACAATTAAGGTCCTTGGGTGTAAATAAAGCATAATATTCCAACTAAAATGGATTTACTGAGTAACAAATTACCTCGTGAAATTAGTATAGCAGACGTGTTTGATGTAGGAGGCAGGCGGCGTGTGCGCTGATACCACGCTCACTAACACTTGCTGGTCTGCCGGCGCCAGCCGGATGGTCTCCACTCGCTGCACTGCATCGCGGTTGAACCCTGGACACATTTCACAACATGATGTTTTATTTCAAAGAACATATAGATACTACTTAGGTACTTTGATAACCATTAGGGAAGAGTTACGAGTAGATTCAAATTCCTAGGAAACGGAATGAAGTTTAGAACAAAGCAGATCTTGCCTTCCTATCTCGCGCTGTGAATTGAATGACCTAAAGATCGATGGGGTCATGTAAGGGCCTTTATACCATTATTATAAGGCAGAAAGTGGAGGCTTCGGAACGCATAATTTTGAATTGTATTCGACTTATAGCTACAATATTAGGTGATTAATATACTAGTGCGCAAGAAATCTAGATAAAAGGTGATAAAAGGTCACAGTGTTCACAAAATAATTAGAAAACGGACATGAAAGTGGACCTTACAAT